ACCACCCGCTCCCAATTCACGCCCCAACCTGAACCGGAACAAGTCCAAAACTTTCTATATATTCAATTATAAAGAAATGAAGGACAGAAACAAGTTCAAAACAACAATCGGAATTCCCACAGGAACTAAGTCAGATACTACAACCAAAGGAGAAAGTGAACCGGGATCGCGTTATACTCTCCCTCCGTAGCTGCTGCTCTACTTTCTCTTTTCCTTAAGTTTTTATAACCTAAACATTTATTATATAACCTAAACACTTGTGATAAATCCTCAATAGTTATTATTATTATATAATACAAATACAATATAAATAAAACCTAAATAAATATGATATATATATTTTATTGTTACAAATAACTACCACATATATAAATATACTTATAAAAAACAAATACATATAACCACCCCTCTTTTTTTTGTATTTATGAATACATAAATATAAATATCTTTATTAATTATACAATTAAATACCACATAAATTAATTAAATATCACATTAAATTAACTAAACAACACATTAAATTCTCATGTAACTATACAATTAATAAAGTCAAAAAATAAAAATAAGATAATAATAACCATAATAATAAAAACAAAATAATGACTTAAAGGAAAATTAGGGGAGGTTCGGTGACATCTAGTTTTCTTTGCACTTTTCATTTTTTTTTTTTTTTGCACTATTCATGTTTCTGGACTTTTTTTTGTAGTATAGAGAAAATCGTAGGTTTGTTATTATAATCCAATGAAAATGACAGAGAAAATGTTAAGCTTGTAGTTGAGTGAAAATCACCCTTGAAGTTGGTGTCTTGATCTTGATGCTTATTGCTTCTTCAACTTGGACTAGTTTTTTTTTTTTTTTTTTTTTTTTTTTCAAAAAACGTAATTTTTTACAAACTAGCATAGTATAATCTTAAAAGTTTGCCAGATGCCCTCACAAAATTTTCAAGAGTTGTGAAATAAGTGTGCCACGTCATTCCACTGTTTTGGCAAATAAAGAGAACATCCCAAAATTGCCCCTAAGCAAGATGTCGAGGCTTTGGCTTTCTCGCAGATTCTAGATATCTTTAGTTCAATGCATAAAATTGTAACACATTAAAATCTAAAACCAAGAGTCTACAAATGGCCAAATCAATTTAAGTTGAAGATCTTACTGTTTTGGGTTTTAAATAAAGATTTGGTGATGCAAGTCTTTTTACAATCAATTAATCATCTAAAAATCTTAAACCTTACATATACGTCTAATCAACATAATTAAAATTAATCAATCATCTAAAAAAAAATCATAAACCTTACATACCCAATTAATTAAAACAATTAAAATCAATCTGTCATCTTCATATCAATACAAAAATCAAATCAATATTAAATAAATACAAATAAATAAATATAACGAATCAAATATAAACAAAGAAAAGTAAATTTTGTACTCACAATATTTTATTGAAGATTAAAGAATATCTGAAAACTAATAGAGCCACCAAAACAAAACCCTAATATTTCTTTTTCTTTCCTCTCCTCTTTCTTCCTCTCTTTCCCGTCAGTCCCCTCTCTCTCGGCAGCATCTCTATTTTGTGATTAATATCTCTCTGTCTCTCTCCCTCTCCCTTTCCCTCTCTGTCACGCCCCACTTTTTAATACCCAAAACCATTACCAAATTCATTAACTTAATTCAATTTCAGAGATAACATGCGGAAATAAACTCATACATTCAATCCGCAGAAATGAATATAAATACTCTCATTCGTATGCAAAGTAAATGTTACATGAACATACTCAATAAATTGCCCTTGGGCTTACAACCTTTAAGTAAAAAAATGAAGGGGTGTAACCCTTTTACACAAATGGTGTTCCGCCAACAACAAAGAGGCCCCGTGGCCAACAAATAAAAAGATCCAAATCCTGTAGCACAACCTGCTAAACACCTGAAAAAGATTCAACAGCGTGGGATGAACATAAAGTCCAGTAGGGATCTCAACATGATCCTCAACAATAACAACTTACAGATAGCAATGATCATGCACACCCATTCTCGTACTAGAATAGTAATATGACAGTTTATACAAAATATATATATATATAAACTTTTCTTGAAAACAACCGTTTCATTCAACGCTATAAGCGATTCATCTTTCCTTATTCCTTTCACTAATCCCCATTCCCATTCTTTTATAACATTAACAATTACTTAGGAAAATAATCTCACTAAGCCCGATACTCTCTTCCACTTCCTATACATACACAGATGTACCTTTTCAAAACATGTTTATCGTTAAAACATTCATTCTCCTTTACACTTTCCAAAAGACAAAAAGACATTTTGGTTCATTTCCACTACTAACATACCTATACATGCATAACCTTGTAAAAATATAAATTTACAACCCACCCACATGTATACAATCAATCAATGGAGTAACTCGGTTCTCCGAACTGGAACCAGTCAAATCTATGATATTTTCAGTTACAACTAAACAACAACAATTCCACCCTGCTCAACTAGCTATGCGCTTAGTAAGCCAAAGATATATTGAAATAACTACAACCAACTTCGCTCTACTAGCTATGTGCGTAGTAAGCCAAAATACCAGTTTACCAGGCGCTAGCTGGAAGGGTATGGTGCCTTCTATTATTAGCGCATACAGTTCTCCAGGCGCTAGCTGGAAGGTAACGGTACCTTTGATTATAAGCGCGGCATATAACGCCAACAACAACCATGCAACAAGGCATATCCAACATGTATAATGCATATACATAACCAACAAGAATCTAACAACGAGTTAAAGTAGAAAAACACATAGGTGTAATGTATACACATCAATTCAACACAACCATGTCATCCTCCACCGATGACCAAGGACAAAACCTCTAGATGCATGTATATTGTACATCTATTAACAGACTCAAATATCATGAGATCATCAACTCATCACTAATACTAACATAGTAGTATAAGATACAACAATCCAACATTCATACTCATTTCAAAGTACCTTTCCCATTTCACAAAACCAACTCTCTTTATTTTTCAAAACCGGTTTTATTCCTTTTGTTTTTCACAAAATCAAATCCAAGGACAATAAAGCCAAAGCTCATTTTAATCTACTACATTCATCTCCAAGCCATTCCAATTTAATTATACAAATTAAATCATAATCACTAAAATAGGATTTCCCACCCCTTCTCCCAATATTGATAAAAAGGTTCAATCATCTACAACAAACAACAATGGCTTCATTCAAAACCCAAAATACCCAAGTATTTACCCAATGATCAAAACCCCTCTATTGAGTTATTAACCAAATAAATATTAGGGTTTCCTCTCCTTACAACAACAACATGCTAATTAACACCCAATTAGCCCCAAAACACATCTAATGATAATATATCTAAATCCAATAACTAACCCAAAGTTCAACCTCATGAATTTATACAAAAATCCAACATAAAATGGTTTTCATGCAATACAAAAATTACCACATGGTCTGCTACAACGGTCCGACACGACCATACCGTGTCTTCTACAACGGTCTGACACAACCATACAGTGTCTCCTATCCCATTTTTAATTTTATTTGTCACCTTATTTTTCTGTTTTGTTACTCTCTCCAAACTCAAGTTGGCTAGTACCTATCCTCCTTGAGTTTGAGGGGGGCTGTTAATGTAAATTGTAAAAGTAAATACTACCACCCACTCCACCTACCACCTCGACTACCACCCACTCCACCTACCACCTCCACTACCACCTTCACCTACTCCCAAATCCTCTCCTATATAAATCCTTGTAATATACACAATATACACATCAATCAATAATATACATCAATTTATTTAAACATCTATTTTGTGATTAATCTCTCTCTCTCTCTCTCTCCCTCTCCCTTTCCCTCTCCCTCCCGTAGCTGCTGCCTCTACTTCTCTTTTTCCTTAAGTTTATAACCTAAACATTTATTAGATAACCTAAACACTTGTGATAAATTTTTCCCCGCTGCTGCCTACTGAAATACGATAGCCTCGCTCGAGCGAAGACAAGCTCGCTCGAGCCAAGAATTCCAGTGTTCAGGTCCTAGTTCCAGACGCAACGCTCGCTCGAGCGAATCCACCCTGGCTCGACCCACCAGACACAAAACTCCACGGTCGCTCGAGCGACAAACAGCTCGCTCGAGCGAAGGACTAAAAACCTGGGCAGCAACCACCCGCTCCCAATCACGCCCAACCTGGAACGAACAAGTCCAAAACTTTCTATAATTCAAATTTAAAGAAATGAAGGACAGAAACAAGTTCAAAACAACAATCGGAATCCACAGAACTAAGTCCAGATACTACAACCAAAGGAGAAAGAACCGGGATCGCTATACTCTCCCTCCCGTAGCTGCTGTCTCTACTTCTCTTTTTCCTTAAGTTTATAACCTAAACATTTATTATATAACCTAAACACTTGTGATAAATCCTAATAGTTATTATATTATATAATACAAATACAATATAAATAAAACCTAAATAAATATGATATATATATTTTATGTTATCAAATAACTACCACATATATAAATATACTTTATAAAAACAATACATATAACACCCTCTTTTTTTTTTTGTATTTATGAATACATAAATATAAATATTCTTATTAATTATATACAATTAAATACCACATTAAATTAATTAAATATCACATTAAATTAACTAAACAACACATTAAATTCTCATGTAACGATACAATTAATAAAGTCAAAAATAAAATAAGATAATAATAACCATAATAATAAAACAAAATAATGACTTAAGAAAATTAGGGTCGCTACATCTATATTCATCAACATGTTCCTCATCTTCATCCTCTTAATCCATCTGTTGCCATGAGTGGTAATTCAATTCATCATTCGTTGATGTATCCCACATATCATATGAGTATTAGTTTAAGATTTTATTAGTTTGTTGTGGGTATAATATGACACTCTATGACTTATTGTGAAGCCTAATATAATGTTGTTCTTGTTGTAGGCAAACAATTTGCGTGAGATGCGTGTAGTATCAAATTGTGTACCAAATTCAATGCCTCAGAGCTATTATATTCAACCAACATTCCAGTCAGTAAGTGAAAGTTCATGTGGATATAACATTGGGTTTCGATATTCTAAAGAATCAAATAGTCCAATGTGTAGGCAAGTTATTTCATTAACTTTGGCAATTGTTATTACATTTTTTTGTACATTGTTTGGCCCTTTGTTGCTGTGTTTTGTTAATTTATTTATTTATTTATTTTAGGCTATCAACAGGCACAAACAGGTGGAACGTACTGCAAATTTCAGTCATAGCAGTACATAAATTTCATTGTTTCTTCCTTAAGGTTGCTGAAAATGTTACTGAAATGTTGCTCAAACTGCTGTCTCTCTGTTACTAAAACTGTTGTTGTCCATTTGTTGCTTATGAAACTTGGTGTCCATCTGTTGCTCAAACTGCTGCTGTTCATCTGTTGCTAATGAAACTTGGTATCCATTTGTTGGTCAAACTACTGCTGCCCATCTGTTGCTTATTTTGCTGTTGTTTATCTGTTACTGAAACTGCTGCTGCCCATCTATTGCTTATTTTGATGTTGTCCATCTGTTGTTGAAACTATTGTTGAAACAGTTTTTGTTCTTGTTTTTTTATGTTGCTGAAATTATTGTGAACATGTATGAGGTTGAATTTTGTGTGAACAATTTGGAATTGGAAAGAAACAACATTATTGCTGAAATTCAATTTGTTTAAAAACAAAGTTTCATGATTGTAGAATGCTTCTTTGGGAGGATGAAAGTTATGAATCTTTTTTGTTCTGTAGCTCAGCAATTTCTCATTTTTCTGAATTTTTATTTTTATGGTTGTAATGGAAAGCTCATTTATTTCCTCTTTCGTCAGTTTGAGTGCATCCTGAAACTTCTATATTATGTTTGCTGATGATTGGCACTTGTTGCAGCTCAATTTGGGAATTTCCTGAAATAGAAAAAAGAGAAAGCTCTATCACTACTTCACAGAGAAATTATGTTCTCCAAGAGAACATGTCACAATCTTCTCTTTTAACATCCCAAGCAAACTATCAATTAGCAGTTACTTACAATCAATCTCTTTCTGGAGCTCTAATACCATCAAATACTATCTCTGCACCCAAACCAAATCATGGTAACACTGATGCAAACAAGACCAAAATGCTATAATTTACAAGTTCCATAATCATCAAATCCATAACTACATTAATCAAATTTCCATTCATCAAAACCATCTAAAATCATTCTATCCATTCATTAAAGCCAAAATGCTACAAACTTCCAAAATCATTCCATAAAATTAAAGCCAAAATGCTACAAACGCCAACAATACATCCGTTAAGTTTCATAAAATCCATAATAACATTCATCAAATTTTCCCGAAGCGAACTAAACAATAAGTTACATTATAAAGTACAAAATCATAAAAATTACAATGACATACACCATCGCCTTAAAATGATTTTCAAGCCTTCAACTGTAGTCATCATTTTCATTTTCCATCCTTTCAAGTCTTTGATGATATTTATCATTTTCGTTTTCTATCTAATGAAGCCTCGTCCTTAGATCGTTAAAATTTTCTACTGTTATAGCATCACAAAGTCTAGTGTTGCAACGGATTGTGGACATAACGTCTTCATCATCTTCATCTAGGAACTTGAAGTAATTGCAATGGGCAGTGTTACTCTATAATGAATGACAAGTAGTTAGTTTAATAAGACAAATTAATTTATAACTACTAAAGGATTAATATTTACAATACATACTTATGTATTTTGATGGGTAAACAAAGAACAAACGACATTGATTTCCATGCTCATTGGTTCTTGCAATACATATGACAGTTGTTCTTTCACAATTGCACAGTCTCGATTTTAATCTTATGTTGCTATTGTTAGTAAAAGAAGAAGCCATTTTTTAATATGCATATAAAAAGACTCATGAATTTATGATAACAAAAATGAATGTATTTCTGTGCGCAGTACTATCCCCTCACAACTAAGAATGCAAATAAAAAATTCAATCTGCACATCCATATTTATCTTATCATAGATCATGATCCAAATGAGGCACATGCCATTCCAACTTAAGAATTTGCTCACTCTGAAATAAAACTTCATCCCATAAAGTTTACTGATATTCCCTAGTGGTCGAATGCATTGCAAGGAGGAATTCAAATAATTCCTTTTGTCAATGAATTGTTGTTGTTGTTGTTGGTTTTTTTTTTTTTTTTTTTTTTCAACAGAGGAAATCTATATAGGCCTCAATGAATTGAAGCTTAAACACACACACAGAGTAGCAAATTTCCAAAGCATGAAAGAAAAGAATGTCTTTACAAAGCTTAAAGACAATATTCCTAAAAAATTCCAGAGACAAAAACTTAAAGACAACAATTCCAGAAACAAAAAAGTTCTTCACAGTACCAAATTTTTAAGCTCAAATCAAAAACTTAAATAATTGTTGTAAAGACATTCTTTTTTTTTTACCCATGTAAAGACATTCTTTTTTTTAATGAGGGCAAAGCAATAGATCCAAATGTATGTATTTTTTTTTTTTAATGTTTTTTTTCAACAGAGGAAATCCATATTGGCCTCAATGAATTGAAGCTTAAACACACACGCAGTAGCAGATTTCCAAAGCATAAAAGAAAAGAATGTCTATACATAGATAAATTAAAAAATAATGTCTTTACAAAGTTTAAAAACAAAAAAAAAATAAAAAATTCCAGAGACAACAAAAATTTTAGAGACAAAAACTTAAAGACAAATTTGAGTTTTAAAAAATTCCAAAGACAAAAAAGTTCTTCACAGTACCAAATTTTTAAGCTCAAATCAAAAACTTAAATAATCCATCCTTCACCAAATCTGCTGCTGAAAATTAAAAAACAAAAAACAAAACAAAACAAAACAATTCCATCCTTAAACATGAAGCTAAAATAATCAATTACAGAGACAATGAAGACTAACCTGTGGATAATTGACATCGGACTGGTTTGCTCACAACGGAACTTTGGTTCGCGAAGTGAGGGTAGAGAGAATGAGGGCAAAGCAATGGGTTCGGTTTGAGAAGTGGGTCGCCGTAGAGAGGGTCGCCGGTGAGATGGAGGAGAAGAGCGTGAGGGCTCTGGTTTGCGAAGCATACATAAACAATCCACCTCGATCGGCTGGGTTTCAATAGTGGGTCGCCGTCGAGAGAGGGTCGCCGGTGAGGAGGATGGGTTCGACGGAGAAGAAGGGGTGAGTGTGAGGCTGAGTGAGAGTGAGTTCCAAAACAAAATGTGTATAACCTGTATAGCTTTGGGCGGGAAAATTTTAGTTTCAATTTGTTTTAATTTTTTTTTCTTTTTCGATCTAGACCGTTTGATCTGGTTGGCTGAATCTCAGCCGTTGCACGGAGGAAGTGAATGAGAGAAGTCAAGGAGAGGATCCGGACTCACCTGTCACCACCAGTTTGCTCTAATTTTGTTGAATGCACATCTCCTCATCTTCTCTTCTCTGCTCTTTCTGCAACACTTTTCATTACTTCTTTTGGTTTACAACCAGCGTGAAAGCTCATTCCTTTGGCTGTTCTGAGGCTAGGAGACGAAAATTGGACACCATTTGTTGATTCTCGAGAACGTTTGTTTCGTGACATTATAAACTTCAATGGCCAAATCTATACTGTCGATGACAAGAGAGCTTGTTCAATAATCGATTCCTTCTTGAACAACACTGAAATCGCATCTCCATTGAATCAGATTAGTGGGTTTGAGAAGCATTTGGTGGAATCTCTTGGGAAACTCTTTCTAGTCGATAGGAATTTGAGTACAGATTGCTCCTACTCTGTTTCTGTTGCAGATTTCGATGGATGCAAAGGGAAGAATTATGTTTTCTTCTTGGATGAATGTTGCAGTCTGTGTGATGAAAACTTTCATGATCAATACGATGAACTTAAGACTTACAGGAAATTGGGGTTTTCAGTTTGGATAATGGGAGTGTTGGGCCATTAGTCTTTCACCCTCGCTTTGCTGACATTTTTTGGCCTCCCCCAACTTGGCTGCTCGCCCCAAATTCATCTTCATCCTGTCTTGAAAGTAAAGTTTCAAATACTCCTAAAGTTTTGATTTTGAATCATTATTACAGTCTCTTGTTGTTTGATTGCAGGGCTCTATTACAGTTTCTTGTGAATGGGATTTGTCAAGCACTCATGTTCCCACTTTTTTGTACTTTTTAGGCTCTTTTGTGTTGATTGCAAGCTCTGTTGCAGTTTCTTGTGAATGGGATTTGTCAAGCACTCATGTTCCCACTTTTTTGTACTTTTTAGGCTCTTTTGTGTTGATTGCAAGCTCTGTTACAGTTTCTTGTGAATGGGATATTGTCAAGCTAGTTCATGTTCCTACTTTTACTTTATTGTTCTAAATTCCTTAATTATTTAGCCAACTCTTGATTTTGAATCATTATTACAGTCTCTTGTTGTTTGATTGCAGGGCTCTATTACAGTTTCTTGTGAATGGGATTTGTCAAGCACTCATGTTCCCACTTTTTTGTACTTTTTAGGCTCTTTTGTGTTGATTGCAAGCTCTGTTGCAGTTTCTTGTGAATGGGATATTGTCAAGCTAGTTCATGTTCCTACTTTTACTTTATTGTTCTAAATTCCTTACCACTACTCAATTATTTAGCCAACTCTTACTATGCTCTTTGATGGCAATATGTTTACCGTCAATATATGCTTACATTGATGGCCACTTATGCTGTTGCCAGAACAAAAAAAAGCTGCCATTGAATTATCAGATACTGGGCATTCAAAGTCATGTGAAAAAAATTCCTTGACCAAATAACTTTTTATGCTACTTTCAAAGAAAAGATATAATCTATTTGGCACTCTCTAGCATAAGACATATCTGAAAAATGGAAATCGAATGGAAAAAATGTATAATCTTGAAATTATTATCGAATGGAACAGAAAAAGAGTTCAATGTATGTTCAAATTGAACATGGCAAACAACCTTGGTTGAAGTAAACACAACCATATGGGTTCAAGCTTAAAAATTTAGTACTCATCAAATCAATTCCTAAAATGCTGAATTATTTCAACCCCCACCCCGCGGAAATGAAATCCACAGTTAGCAAGCTGTACATGCCCTGTCTCTATTGTTGTTGAGTCTCTACAAGAAAATTGGCAGGCTCACATTTTGCCGCATAACCAAACTTAGATGTACTGTACTTCCTGTGTACCCCGGTAAGTCTCCCTGTTGCTGCCTTCTGATGGAAGCTTACTATCAGTTTCGAGCATTCTCTGCAAGCAAGCAATTTAATATCACTGTTAGAAAACTAAATGACCTATGCAAAATTTTTGGACAAGATTAATGGGAGGAGGAGACGGGGGGGTTTTTACTCACAAGAGCTGATCTTCTGAGTAGGTAGTGTGCCACTCGCAGGTTTTACTCCATTGCTTAAACCCGTAGAGTGTACATTGAGCAGTGTAGATTGCTGCAGCAGCCAAGAAAGATGGCGCGAACTTGAGTGTCTCATACTCCACAAGGCACAGCTCCATCAGGAAGAAAGATAAAAGCTCAAGCTGCAATGAGGTCCACAATACAATTTGCAGTCTCATTAGATTGAATTTTAATAGACAAGTTTCCTGTTTGTTTGGTGTCATTTTTGTTTTCTTCATTTCTTAATGTGCTTTCAGAAACAAGAATATTGAGAAGTTCAATTACACCAATTGCTCTATTTTTTGTGATGAAAAAAGTATTCAAAGATTCAAAAACAATCTTTTCATTATTCCTGAAAAGTGAGTTGTTTTCTGAAACTGATATCAAACCGGCCAGAATTTTGCCAAATGAATCAACTTTCAAGTAATCACTTACCTTCCTGTCAGATTGAGCAGCCTTAAGGTATCTTCTCATAAAAACATATGGGGTTGGAACTGACATGTGGAACTGTAATGTATTTAGCATTAATCTCTCCTGCGAGAATGTAAAAATGGTTTAATTATTTAACCATCAATAGGGTGGTATGCACTCAAATCACAAGGTCAATTGATAATCACCATTTCAAGAACTTCTTTCCTAGTGTAGGCCTTATCTGAAATGAAAAGCAAATCATCCACAACAGGTACTAAAACTTCCTCATATTTGCACGCTAAGAGCATTGCGACCAAACCAACCAACTGCAGTTTCTTTCGCGCCACTCCTTGCTGAGCTAAAAACCGATCTGTAATATTAACAGTCAGAAATAGTGTCTCGTCCCTCAGTTCAAACTTGTGGTGTACCTGTTGATTTTGATCGAGTGGATTAATGATCTAGAAACTAAAACGTGCTCAAACATCAATTAATGATAATTATGCTAAGATCTGATACCCTAATTTAGTTCATATACATACCTCAACAAGCCAGTCAATTAGTATTGCCCTCATCTTCTCATTGATGTCAGATTGTTGTGACATGTAGCTCGATGAAACACCGCTACAACTCTGCATAAATTGAGTTTTGTTTAGTCCTGAAAACATGATTCTTAGGCCAGTTGACTGTGTTTTCATTTTCCAAAATATGCCTCTCTTTTTTTTTTCTTCTTTTCATTTGGATCACACTATGCCTTACATTTGAATAGGAATAAAATAAAATAATAAAAAAACCTTTGTGAAAATGGACTGCTGGGAAAATGAATAGAATGTGATGTTAAGCACTTAAAAACACAATCAAACCTTCCCCTTTTATTCATTTCCAATCCATAATGTCCCAAGCAATAGGGACAAGAACAACTTATTATATCCAAAGAAATCTTGGTGGAAAATGAAATTAATAAAGCTGTTTAATGAAACAATTAAATGTGCCATATAAAACAGAAATTTTTAAACCAATTCATAACTAATAATTGACTATATTCAATGAGCTTTTAGTTTACCTCCATTTTTCTATAGTAGGCATAGACATTCATAACTAATAATTGACTAAATTCAATGAGCTTTTAGTTTACCTCCATTTTTCTGTAGTAGACATAGACATCGTGGACATAGTCGACTACTGCTAGTGGATTCTTGGCGTCGCAGCTGTCAATATCCATAACGGGCTCTTCAAATATATCTTCCATTTCAACTTCCTATGGAATTTCATGGATTCAATTGTTCAATTTGTGAACCAGTTAAGATTATTGAAGGAAAGCACAGCTTCAGAGACAAATACCATCTGTTCCTCTTCATCCGGGACTGCTTCTGTTTGTTCCAAGGACATTGGAACTGGGTGGTCTGTAGCTGCCTTATGTTCCTCATCTATTACTGGACAATCTTCCCAGACTCTGAAGCTTTGAACAGATGATGAATCGGGTTTCTTAGTTTTCTCCAGACAATGTTGTTGTGTGCTCGCAATCTGTGCCGCAAATTTCCTGTATAAGAGCAAAATTGAATCAAATCAGCACAATTTGAACATAAAATCTAGTCATTTAGATCCACAATTCAAAAAAGAAAGGAAAAAATCATCTTTTAAAATTGAAGGGTACATGCTCATATTCTAACCTTGTGATTGGTCTATGAGCTGGATGAGGAGGTAACTCATCACAAATTTCATGGGTTCTGAGAACAAAAGATGGTCATATTAGTTGTTACCAAAAACAAGAGAGAGAGAGAGAGAGTGAGAGGATTACCCTGACAAGACTTTCTTGTTGACAACACAAGGGTAAGGATGAGCTCGAGCTACATTTTGATTAATCATGCTTAAGGCTCCTCGGTTGGGCCTAATCTCCACCCCAAACTTTCTGCTACCCATTTCTGATCAAAACAAGAATTCAAAATTATAAATTAAAAAAAAAAAAAAGACCCCAATTCAGAAACTAGGGTTTTTGTGCTGATTCCAAACTCGAAATGTGGAAAAAAAAAAATGCTCAATCTCATCTGCATTTTCAGATCAAGGTCTGAATAGTTTACCTTGTAAGTTTATGGGTTTAATCAAAGTGGGGTTATTCTTGTTCTCATCAGATATAACCATTTTCTTTGGTTAAATTACCTGAAAATATAGATCTCTCCCCCTCTTCAACAACCACACAACCTACCTATCAAACACCTCACAATGTAACTAGCCTAAGAGCATCTAAAAAACCCTAAATCTACAGACTCAGCTTCTGAGAAGAAGAAGAAGAGAGAGAGAAGATAAAGGAAGCAAGAAGGGAGTGAATGAGGCAGAGTGATTTGTCGGCAGAGACAAGGCCGCATTTTTTTCCACAAACCCAACGGCTAGTGAAATGTGGCCGTCGGATCATAGGGTTGACAACGACTATATTTTGGTCTTTAACGGTCATGTGGCCATGTGACGTTGCTTTCAAATTATTTGAGTTTTTCTGTTAATAAAATAACGAATGGTCTCTAATTAATTTATTGAGCTGATCAGAAAACAGTAGAGTGGTGGGGGTCACCTCATTGGGAGTCTTGGGGTATTTTTCTTTTTTTCAGTAACACGCTCTTGCCCACTTTGGGCTTCTTTGGGTTTGGTAGAGTTGGATCAAATGGGATGTGGAGGGTCCATTTCAATAATGGTAACATTAAATAAATAAAAAAAATTATATAAAAAAACTTAAATAAAATTATATGATTTGATGGGATTATTCCTTTTAACATCACAATACTCATAATAGTCATAATTCTGATAATATTATTGTCATACCATTGTATGTATTTTATGTTTAGAAATTTAGTTTATAAATTATTTTTCTTTATCGAATCTTGGTTAAATACTTCAATGAGTAGTTAGGATTGTCTTGTTATTGGATGTGTGTTATCAAAATACAACTTTAATGCGGTTAGATATAAGTGTGATTTTTCTTTTTATTTTTTAGTATGTTTGATGGAAAGTAGAGAATCAAATAGAAGTTTATAGACTCTGCTTATTGTCTTCTTTTTTTCCCTTTTTAAGTAAGAAGAAGAATAGAGGAAAGAAAAATTATATTCCCAAATGATAAAACATAAACCCTAACATTGCACTAAATAAAGAATTATCTCATCTTTTAAGTCAACCTTTTGTCTTATAAAATTACAATATAAAAGTACTATCTTTTTAAATATCATGGTAAAATTGTGCTTTTATTTATTTTTTTTTTTATTTATTTTCTTCTTCTTTTGTGTGTGTGTTTTCAGTTGAGATTTATTATAGGAAAATACACTACATTTGTACTTGATTTTTTTACTGTTAGATACAAAGACACTTCTCATAAATACATTAATGTGAATATATTACTTAGTGTACTAATAAAATAATTTGATACCATTACTCTTTGTTGCAAAATTGATATCAACATTGATTTTTGGGTTACATATAATTTGAGATTTAGGATTAGATACAAGCTTGTGTAAAGAAGCTTTGGTTCATACTTGTAGCTTTGTTTATTTATTCTGTAAATGGGTTAACTACCTTAAATCTAATTCTGATGATTGAATTTAATAGTCATAAAAATTCAACTTTGACGATTGTAAAACTGAAATTTAATGCATATTATTACAAATTTTGCCGTGCATTAATTAGATCGATACTAGTAAATAAATTGGTTTTTGTTGACTAATCATTTCTTAATGGTTTTAACTACCTAGTATTGATTAAACTCTCCACAAATAATAATAATAATGGCGTCAAAAGTTGGCTTCAGAATCATTATTAAGGGGTTGTTTGGGATGTCTTAAATAAGTGTACTTTTTGTCTTTTTTTTGACTAAAAAGTTGAGAAAAAAAAATAGGAGTTTTTTTTTTTAGAGTCCCTGGTATTAAGACTTTATAGTATAAAGGACATCTAATATTTTTATAATGTCTAAGGTCCCTCAATTTGATCCAGAGAAATTCTGTCCAGAGAAATTTTAACCTAGAGAAATTTCCATCCAGAGAAATTTGGTTTGTTCAATTTTTTTGATTTTCTATATTTTGAAATTTCTCTAGAGTTGAATTTTCTCTAATTTTCTCACAAATAACTCTGTGATTTGCTGCTTTGCTTGCCTTCACTCTTGGTGTCAAGCAAATTATGGGAATTTCTCTGGCCTTTTCCAGAGAAATTCTCATCTAGAGAAATTCAAAAAATTTCTCTAGATGAGAATTTCTCTGTAGAGAATGAGAGATGAAATCGAACAGCATCAATATTGCTTTCATTCTCAACAAGTGGGTTTCAAAATTTGATTTCACAAACATTGGGTTTTATACAAATTAAGCATTCCAGGTTCCAGCTCCAAACCAAAGAATTTCTCTGGACCAACTCAAAGAAAATTTAGTTAAAAAATCAGAGAATTTCTCTGGTTTCAACCCAGAGAAAATTCAGTTCAAATGAAAAAAAAATTCAGTTTACTAGTCCAAACACGCACCATATATATACCACACGTACACACACAAATTCATTGAATCTAAAACTTGATCATAGAAGTATTCTTGTAGGCCAACAAGTGTAAACCCATCTTCAATCCCAAGAATGATGAACTGAGGAGTTAACCAGAACACGCTCATAGACAGATAATCAGAGAAATTCCCCAACCCAGAGAAATTCCCAGACAAACTTTTCTACAGAAATTCTCTCAACCCAGAGAAATTCTCAGACAAACCTTTCTAGATTGCCAGTACTTGCATTTGAACCCATAGTTAGACGGCCCTGTGGAAAAAGATCAAGAGGATTTACATTGCGTCCACTGAAAGGCACTGCTGGCTGTGGAGACTGGGAAAGCAAAACCCACACTTGATGCGTCTCATTCAAGAGCATCAGGCAAACTAGCCTATAAAAATTCCTAAAAGTAAAACATATTGCAGCCCAGTGAGTTTTTGAAAAAATCTAACTGCAATTTTAAAAGTTGAAAACACTAAAATGTTTTTTTAACTTTTTCTCATACTCATAATATCCTCCACTTATAAGTACAATCTGCAATCACGTTGCTCTAGAAAATCGCAACAATTGTTATATGCAAAAGTCACCATTGATATGAAGCGCTGCTTAGCTTTGCTTTGCCAATTCAAAACTAGCAAACTTAACATTGTTTGATTGGGGGGACTATCCACTATTTGGATTGTAATCCAAATAGTGCTCCTTATCCGCCGTTTGATTTTTTTTTAGTCGGCCGGACTCCATGTCCCCCATATGGGAGACTATTGTGTCCCAGGGGGGGTGGGACAGAAAGTGGGAGACTATCCACTGTTGGGATTAGATGCGAAAATGACCATTTTGACCCTCTACTATTTAATTATGTATTATATTTAATAAAATTCAATAAAATTTAAATGTCTCAATTTAAAAATAAAATAATTTTATTTAACTTTTTATTGATGTTTTATTTATTTAATTTTTTTAAATAATTTTTTATAGATATTTTATTGATGTTTTATTTTAAAATTTTGTTTATAATTTATTTAATTTCATTATTTAAATTGTAATAGGTGTTTTATTTAAAATTTTAATTAAAAAATAATATAAACAAATTTAGTGGTTATTTATTTATTTAATTGTGTAAAAAAATAAATTTATTTAATTGTGTAAATAAACAAACACAGTAAATTATTTAATTGTGTAAATAAACAAACACAGTAAAGTTTTGTATGTAAAAAAAATAATGATTTGTTATACAGTAATGATTTAAAACAAATTTTATTGATATTTTATTTATTTATTTATTTAACTTAAAAAAACAAATTTATTTAATTAAAAATAATTAAAATATTAAAGATATGTTTAATATTACTATTACTTAGTAAACAATTGAAAAAGGGCAAAATAGTCTTTTGTTCATTTATCTTATCCAGTCCGTTCAACCAAACATTGGATTCACTAAAAATAGTCCTATCCAGACATCTAATCCCATGAAAAAACAAACACAGGATACATATCCAATCCGACCAAATAGTCCGGGGGATTCATAGTCCCAGGACTCAAGTCCGATGGATTCTAATCCCCCCTTTTTCAGTCCATCCAATCAAACACATCCAAAAGTCATAACAAATACAAAGAGTACTTTGCCATTGTTTTCCCAATTAAAAAAACAAGAAACTCAACACCAATGAATAACAAATATTTGATTGCAGTAGCCTAAAAAAGAACAAAAGCAACTGGTTTTTATAGAAAAATTGATAAAAACAATACATTTTGTTCTGAAATCAAAACAAACACAAACAACTCAGTGATTAGTCATTGAAAAATGATCCACTCTATTCTGAAATTCCAAAAAAAGCATGGATCTGGTTTCGAGAAATTGAAGTCTCCTACTGACTGTTTGTTTCCCACGAAAATTTTGCCTCTCTGATGGAGTTTACGGAATCTTTTAAGCAGACTGGTCCTTGTTGTTTCTCGCCCAATTCTCGGTTTCTTGCCGTCGCCGTCGATTATCACCTCGTGATCTGGGATGTTCTGTCGCTCAAGGTAATCGATTTATTTTAATTCTTCAACTGCTTAGGCACAATTTGAATGTTATTTGTTGATATCCACTTGATATAGATGAAGAGAGTTCAGAGAGAGAGAGAGAGAGAATAAGGTTTGATTTGAGAAATTTCTATGCAATATATGAGTGTGGGGGTTGAGAGACCTTAGACATCATAAAATAATATTGTGGATCTCTTCCATTACTAAATATAGAAGAGGGACCTTAAACTAATTTTTTCAAAAAAATATGGATGTTTGGATTAACTTTTTGACTTTTTATGAAAAAATATGCATTAAAAAATTGTATAAATGAAGTGTGTAGGGGAAGATAGTGTAGTAGGCGTACGGAATGGCAGTGCATCGGCTGGTTGAATACATGGGAAAATATTGCCTCATTTTTGGGCTTTGATTGGAAGGTGTTGTTCGGCCTGTGAGGGTCACCACGGGTCTCGTTTTTCTAATCGAAACCGTTGAATGTGTAGAACTCGTCGAGTACTATATGCTTGTAAAAAATCACGTTGATTGGATATCGATAGCTATATGATCATGTAAGTTTTTTTTTGTCAATTGTTAACTATAACACTTTTTGACTTTTTTATACAAAACTGATTTGATCATATAGTTAGCGATATCTGATAGACGTGATTTTTTATAGGCATATAGTACTAGACGAGTTCTATATATTAACGGTTCGAATTATCAAAACGGGATCTATGATGGACCCCTACGGACCCAACTTTACCATCCAAGTTAATGAATGTAAACATGTTTTTTTTTTTTTCTTTTACCTGCGGTGGAGTTTGGCGTCAATACCGTTGACGGGCAATGATTTTTTTGGAATAGATATATTTGTATATTAATTTTTTTAATATTTTTTTGATAAATAGTGATAACATTTTTACTTTTTTGGTAACTTTTTAACTTTTTTTTAACTTGTCAAACTTGGCATTAAGTCCAACAAACATTTTCTATCAACTGGAATTTTTTTATTAAATTCTTTGAACAACAAAAAAAAAAGGGCAAATTACATATACACCCCTCGAGGTTTGGCTAAATTACAAATACCCCCCTGAGGTTTCGTAAATTACATCCCGCCCCCTGAGGTTTGTATTTTTATAACAATTTGCCCCTGAGGTTTATATTTCATAACAAATTACCCCCTAATTTCTTATGCAAATATAGCATTCAGGGGGGAATTCGTAATTTCTCAAACCTCAGGGACATCTATAATTTAGCCAAACC